TTTAAGACTAAGAATGGAGGTACTATTCCAATAGAGTACTCACAGACGATTTATGCCAATTCAAATGCAGTTTCTTTTGATATTGCCTCTGAGATAAATGTTTCAAAATTTGGCTCAATTGAAGGAAGTTTTTCAGAAACAAAAATCGATGTTTCAACCAAAGATAGAGGTAGAATATCTGGCATATTTAAAATTTCTGAAATGTTGACAAATATTGATGCGAGAATATTCAACTTTTACGGTGCAAAAGTCAAATACATCATAAAAAACACATTGGGAGTTAACATGGTATTAGATGCTCCTGGCATAGATGAATACAGTTATTATTCATCTAAAAAAGACAAACGCGCGGGAGCAACATTTAATTTTGGAGACAATGAAGATTTTGAGGGTTTAGCGGCTCTTGGTCGGTTTGGAGATGTCCCCGTAAAAATAACTGAAACCACAACATCTTTACCTGAAAGTTTTATTACTGACAAATATGAAGAAATTTCATACGGTTTTGGATTAATATTCGAACCTGATCGTTTAAGAAGCTATAAGCAACCATTGAATATTATTCGAGTTTCTGATTCGGTCTCTGTTACCTCTGAAGTCATCATCCCGTTTAGATTTGAGGTTGCTGATTTAGTACATGCTGTTTCGTTTAACACTAACTTTTCCGACTCATATAAGTCTATTGCAAATTATGCTAGTAGTTCGGACACGTCTTCCATATTTCTTTACATTGAAAACACGATTCCGCTATCTGTTGCTGCGCAAATGTATTTTATTGATGAGAACGATATTGCCAGCGATAGTTTGTTTAAGAGTCCAACAGTTGTATTAGAAGCCGCCAATGTAGATGCGGATGGATTTAGCACGGATAAACGCGTGGGAGAATACAAAGTTGATATTACAAAATCACAACTTACATCATTGTTAAGTTCTAAGCAAGTTAAAGTGAAGGTTTATGCCGATCGTAATAAGAGTGATCTTAAAAAAATCTCTATTAGAGAGTCGGATTATGTTTCGATAAGATCTGCTGCGAGTTTGAAAGGAAATGTTAATTACATAATAAAATGAGCTATAATACTAAATTGTTGAGTTTGGTGAACGAATTTAAAAAGCGTACTTTGTTTTTAGCTATATGTTCATACATTGATAGTTTGGCATCGTTTTTTGATAAGCGGTACGTAGTAGCCACTTTTATTATTCTTTTTCTGTTTTATTCTAAATCAGAAGCGCAACTTGTCCATGCAATAAATGGTATGCGCTCGGTGTCTGAAAGTTTGAATTTCAACCCTGCATACGATCAGGATTATTCAATTATGACATTGGGAGTAAGTACTTCTTTGGATCTTGCTTTAACAGACGGGTGGGGAAAAGGGTTGTCTTGGGCAAATTTAACATCGGCGCGTAAAGACACAATTACGCTTTCGAAGGATGTTATTAGTAAATTGGGCGGTACCCTCACAACGAGATTTAACACGACATTATTCAATATTAATTTATTCCATGTTAAACTGGAAAACGGGCTTCAACTTGGCGGGTTTATACGGGATATTGTGGGTGGTTATGTATCTGTTCCGCAAACTTTATTAGAATTGCCCTTTTATGGCACCTTTAATACCGCGTTTGAAAAAAAAGCAGTAGATCTTAAACCAGAGGTTGAGTTCTTTCATGTACGGCAAATTGGTGTTGTTGCTTCATATTCATTAGTAGAAAATCTTAGAGTGAAAATAAGAATTGGGTTAGGTATAAAAATTAATTTTGGAATGGCTGCTGTGTCCTCGTCAACAAATGATTTTAAGTATACGCTCCATACGAACAAAGAAAATCTCAATATCACTTCAAGTGGGTCGCTTGTTTCGGCAGGTATTCCATTTAAACCGCAAACGCTAAATAATGGATCCGTTTTTAACGGAGTAAACTTTTCAAGCTATTTTCTTAATTTTGAAAACCCTGGTGCCACGTTTGATTTGGGAGTTACATATAAATTCAGTGAAACACTTACCTTTGGTATATCTGTCATCAATATAGGTCCGCCGATTGCATTTCGCACTCATTTGCGGGATATCTCGTTTGGTACGGCTAAGAAATTTGATTTTTCTGGAGTAAGTATTGAAGAAAGAAATAACATTTCGTACAGTCGGTACATTGATTCGCTACTTAAAGTGGTTAGCCCTGCAACTATAAGTGAGTCCCAAAAAGAAATCAGAATGATACTCCCTTTTTACACCACAATTTCAGCAACTTATGAACCATTTACGGGCGTGACATTTAATGCTTTGTTAGTTGGCGAGTCACAGTTCGGAAAATTTTACCCCTCTTTTTCCCTAAACGCAAACTATTCGTTGAGCAGGTGGAATACCTCAAGCTGGTTAGAAGTAGGATTAACGTGGAAAATAGATAGCTACGGAGCAGATAACCTCGGGTTCGCACTTGCCGTCAATGTTATTGGATTTCAATTCTTCCTTGCTACGGATAATTTAATTCAAATTTTAACATGGAAAACTCAACCTATGTCTAATAGAGGATCTGTGCAGGTCGGATTTAGACTCGTAACATTATGACATTTACAACGCTTGGCGACCTTAGAAAGAAGGCAATTTCCTTTTTTCAACAAAAAGGACTATCCGAATTTACACTGAATGTAGATTTATTACTTGCCGAAGCACTTTCCTTATCCCGAATGGATATTTATCTCAATTTTGATAGACCTGTCTCGCTCCACGAATTAGAATTTTTTCGGGCTTTATCAAAACGTCGCATTTTAGGAGAACCCCTTCAATATATTTTAGGACACGAAACATTCTATGGATTAAAATTTAATGTAAACCCTTCAGTGTTAATTCCCCGTCCTGAAACCGAATTACTCATTGACATTGCATTAGATAAATTGAATGCACCTGAAATTATTGTAGATGCCTGCTCAGGGAGCGGCGTACTTGGAATTGTATTGGCAAAAAAATTTCCCGCATCTCAAGTTATTGCGATTGAAATTAGTCCTGCCGCTATTGAAATCGCTAAAAAAAACGCTATTCAACATAACATAAACAATATTGAGTTTTTACAACTTGATATATTGCACACATCTATCTCAAATTATGTCAATAATGTTGATGCGTTAATATGTAATCCGCCTTACATCGCGGTAACAGAAAAAAATACTCTTCAAAAGGAAATTAATTTTGAGCCAGATATTGCCCTTTTTACAGAAACAGGACTTGAATTTTATGAAAAAATTTCATCAGAAATAAACAGCATTTTAAAACCAAATGGCACACTTCTTTTTGAAATTCACTCAGAAAAGGAAAATGAAGTCAGAAACATTCTTAATAAACATCAATTATTGGAAATAACTACATTTTATGATTTGGCAAAATTACCACGTGCCATTTGTTCAAAAACAGCCCTACATTGAAGGTTAAATACATTTTAATTGTAAACTGTTTATTTATACCCTTAAAGATTTCTCAAAATAATGTAGGTAATTATAGGTCTGTTATGTTCAGTTTTTTAATTTATTCTCTTCATCTGTACAGAACGATCAAACGCAACTTTATGGTTGTTATGTAGTCAAACGAAAAGGTTTGTAATTGTTTTAATGATTTTAATAAAAAAAATAGAAAAGTATGTTTAAGAAAATTTTATGTGCTCTGTTTACGGTTTTATGTTTGGTGTTGGCTTTGGAAGTTCGAGCGGAAAATCCTGAACAAGAGCGTGTTGCAGCCGTAGGAAAAGCAGCACCGCTATTTTCCCTTAAGAACGTGTTAGGGCAAACCGTCTCTCTCGCTGACTTGAAAGGTAAGGTCGTGGTGTTGGAATGGTCAAATCCAGGATGTCCCTTTGTTAAAGGTCATTATGAGAACGGGAACTTACCTTCATTGCAAAAAAAGTATCGCGGTAAATCTGTTGAATGGATTCTTATTAATTCAACGAACAAGAACCATAAAGATTATTCTGAGGGTTCCAATTTGAAAGCAAAATTTGACGCGTGGAAATCTGCTTATTCTCAAGTGCTTCTAGATCAGGATGGGACAGTTGGGAAACTCTATGACGCAAAGACAACGCCTCACATGTTTATCATTGACGCGTTGGGAACACTTGTTTATAAAGGTGCTGTTGACGATTATCCGAGCACAGAAGGCGGTAAAGATGCGAAAATAAATTATGTATCCAAAGCTCTGGACGAGGTTCTTGCAGGGAAAGCGGTCACTATAAGCGAGACGCAAGCCTATGGCTGTTCGGTAAAGTATAAAGGTGTGCGGTAATCTTTCTTTTGACGATCTATTTGAACGGGGCATCCCCGTTATAAGTCTGTGGATGCTTTATTGGTAATTTACAACGTTCGCTTTGTGCGTCTATGATTGAGGTGATAAATTGTAATTTTTAATTTAGAAATAATGAATAGAAGAAGACGGGTCGGTTTATTTATGGGTTTAATTTGTTTAATTGTAAATATGGATGATGAATTATATTCTCAGGAAAAAAATAAAAAAAAGGAAAGTGCTCATGTTTGTGAGATTGTAAAAACGGAAGGAGAATGGAAGGCAGAATTGACTCCTGAGCAGTTTCGTGTTCTCATTAAGAAAGGGACAGAGATGCCATTTTCTGGAAAATATGTAGATAGTAAAAAGCGTGGTCGATATGTTTGCGCCGCTTGTAATGAATACTTGTTTGATTCGTCCACCAAGTTTGATTCTGGAACGGGTTGGCCTAGTTTTTGGCAGGTAGCTTCAAGTGATCGTGTTTCTCTTGTTGAGGATCGTAGTCACGGGATGTTGAGAACCGAAGTAGCGTGTAAAAAATGTGGAGGTCATCTTGGCCACGTGTTTAACGATGGTCCGAAACCCACAGGATTGAGGTTTTGTATTAACTCTGTTTCACTAAATTTTGTACCTGAGTCGAGTACTAAATAAAACGAGCGTGAAAAAAGTAATTTCTTAGTCAGTCTCTGAAATATTTTCAAATTTAAAATATAACTTGTTTTATCTTTGGGGGCACTCGGTGGATTTGGTGCGGTAGCCAAGTGGTAAGGCAGAAGTCTGCAAAACTTTTATTCGTGAGTTCGAATCTCTCCCGCACCTCGTGCATTCAATTGTTGGTGTTTTTCTAACTTTTAATTAAAGTGGGTAATGGCGATAAAATTTGGAACTGATGGTTGGCGAGCTATCATAGCAGAAGAGTTTACTTACTCTAACCTTAAAAAAGTTTCTCTTGCAACAGCACGGTACTTTTTAAATCATTCAAAAGCTAAAAATGGTGTTTGTATTGGATATGATACACGTTTCATGTCCAAAGAGTTTGCGCAGTATTCTGCTGAAATTATGTCAAGCGTTGGGCTTCGTGTTTATATCTCAAATGAGTTTGTTCCAACTCCAGGCGTTTCGCTTTATGTGAAGAAAAATAATCTTGCAGGAGGGGTCGTTATTACAGCATCCCATAATCCGCCCATGTACAATGGGTTTAAGGTTAAAGGAGATTATGGAGGTCCTGCTAATCCCGAAATGATTGCTGATATAGAGAAGATTTTAGCCACTGTGGATGAAGAGGATTCGTGTGTGCCGAGATTCAATGACATAAAAACTGTGGATATAAAGTTTCTTTATCTGAACAAGTTGTCCGAATTAATCGATCTGAGGGCAATTAGGAAAGTAAAATTGAAAATCGCTCATCATGCAATGTATGGCGCGGGTCAGGGTATCGTAACGGCACTTTTAGGAAAGGCTTTTGTAACCGAGTATCATTCTGAATTTAATCCGAGTTTTAATGGAATAAATCCAGAACCCATTTTGAGATACACTACAGACTTCGTTCCATTTATGAAAAAAGGAAAGTTTGATATTGGGATCGTTAATGACGGTGACGCGGACAGAGTTGGATTGTATGATGAGAAAGGAAGGTTTGTTGATTCGCACGTTATTTTTTCTATCATATTGGATTATTTGGTATCCCAAAAGAAGATGACAGGTGATGTTGCAAAAACATTTACCCTCACAAATTGTATTGACCGGATTTGTGAACGGCACGGACTAAAGCTACATTTACTGCCAGTAGGGTTTAAGTATGTCGGGAAATTAATGCAAACGACAAATATTTTGATTGGAGGAGAGGAATCGGGTGGGTTTGCGGTAAGAATGCATATTCCAGAAAGAGATGGCATATTCGTCGGGCTTTTTGTTGCAGAAATAATGGCAAAAACAGGAAAATCCCTCTCACAGTTAGTTAAACACCTGTTTAAGACTTACGGCGAGTTTCATTTTGACAGAATAGATGTTCATTTAACAGAAGAACAAAAGAATCTTACATTAGACCGCGTTTCAGAAGGAAAAATTAAAAAAATAAATGGAATGTCCGTTGTGAAATATGAAAATTTGGACGGAGATAAGTACTTTTTTGACGGCGGCTGGTTACTTATTCGTGCCTCAGGTACAGAACCAGTTCTACGGTTTTACGTCGAAGCCAACACGGATGAAAAGTTAAAACGTGTCTTAAATTTTACTAAAACGCTCTTCAAATGATTTTTCCCTTCGTAGAAGGGCAATTGCTATTAACCTAATCCATTACCTTGCAGCGTCTCATTTTTTTCCGCGTATGTGGGTTTGTTCTTTTATGATTCGGTCGATTCGGAGTAGGGTTCTGTTTTGTTTTACTTTCTTCTTTACCGTTTCTTCTGTTTATTCTCAATCCGATTCGCCACAAGTAGATTCCCAAATATACTCTTCTACTCCATTTGCTTATAGTTCATCTTTTGGAGAAGTTTTCTTTTTGAGAGGAAAAAATGAACTTGTAAGAAAAGAAGTAGAAACAGGTTTAGAAGAGAATTTTACTCTTTCCCCTTTCCACGATGTGATAGCTCTATCCGTAAATGGATTGGATTTGTTTTTGATTGATAAAAATGCCCAGCAGGTAATTCAATTAACTCGTAAATTTTTTGATGTCGCTGTTGTTGATTTCCCTCCGTCAAGTTTGGGACTAAATGTATGGTCACCCAGAGATTTGGCTGTTTCACGCCAGGGCGATTTATTTGTGTTAGAGAGTTTAGCTAAAGTTATTCTAAAAATGAATACGTTTAATAAGTCCGATGTGCGTGTTATTGGACAGATAGGCGAAAAGGGGCGTGGAGATTTTTTTGACCCCGTCGAATTGGTGGTATCGCAACAGCAAAAATTATTTGTATCAGATTTAGGATTAAGTCAGATAATTGTTTTTGATGTTTGGGGAACTTATTTGGGCAGTTTTGGGAAAATTAAGAAAGGGAGTTCTATACAGGTTGGGCAATTATTAGTTCATGGTGATTTACGAGAGGTTGTAAGTATTTTATTTGACAGGGACTTTGCTTGTTATGAAACAGAATTTCCATTCAAAAAAATATTGGACGTTAACTTAGATAAAAAGCTAAAAGCTTGCGTTGCTTCGGGAATAAGATTAATTGGATTGGATGAGAATGATAAAGTGTGCCAGATTTTTTGGAAAGATAGGTAACTAAAAACTAGTGGAGAGTTTTATGCAAAAGTATTAATATTGGTGTGGTCTCTTTTGATTTCTGATTCCATAATGTCGTTTGAAATTGGAGATTATAAGAGCGATGTTTTGAATGTACATTTTGAAATTAAACAATTAAATTATTCTTATGGAATTAGAAAAGTATCTTGGTGCTGAAGTGAAGGAACTTCTTGAGTATAAAGCGAAAGTGTCGAAGGATTTGTTGCATTTGCCAGGTTCTGATTTTGTGGATAGGATTCTTTATCCTTCCGATCGCCCTATAAATGTGCTGCGAAATTTACAATCAATATATAATACGGGTCGCTTGTCAGGAACGGGCTATTTGTCCATTCTACCTGTTGACCAGGGTATTGAACATTCGGCGGGGGCATCGTTTGCGAAAAATCCAATTTATTTTGATGGCGAAAATATTGTGAAATTAGCAATAGAAGGTGGATGCAACGCAGTCGCTTCTACATTGGGCGTGCTTGGCAGTGTTGCACGAAAGTATGCTCATAAAATCCCGTTTATTGTGAAACTTAATCATAACGAACTATTGACGTTTCCTAATCAATTTGACCAGGTTATGTTTTCATCAATAGACCAGGCATTTAATATGGGTGCTGTCGGAGTGGGTGCGACTATTTATTTCGGTTCGGATGAAGGAACCAGACAGTTAATGGAGGTAGCAGAGGCATTCGAATATGCTCATCAACTTGGCATGGTTACCATTTTGTGGTGCTATTTGCGAAACTCTGCTTTCAAAAAAAAGGATAAAGATTATCATGTCGCTGCAGATTTAACAGGTCAGGCAAATCATCTCGGTGTAACCATTCAGGCAGATATTATTAAACAAAAACAACCAGAAAATAACGGCGGTTACACAGTCCTAAACACGGAAAGTGCCTACGGTAAAACAGATAAACGAATTTATTCAGAATTGTGCTCCGACAATCTAATTGATTTAACCCGTTACCAAGTGATGAACTGTTACATGGGAAGGTCGGGTTTAATTAATTCAGGAGGAGGATCGGGGGATAGCGATTTCGCCGATGCTGTGAAAACAGCCGTAATCAATAAACGAGCCGGTGGTATGGGTTTAATATCAGGACGAAAAGCCTTTCAACGACCCATGAAAGAAGGAATAGAAATTTTGAATTTGATTCAAGATGTGTATCTCTCAAAAAATATAACCATAGCTTAGGTCAAAGTTTATTTCAGGAAAGGAGGGAGTTTTTAACTCCCTTTTTTTGTCACGAGATAAGTTGGAATAATAGTAATTAGAAAAAGTTATGATAAACGCAAATTCTGAAGCAAACGCCAGAGAAGTATTAACCATGCACCAATGCCACGAGAAAGGTATTGTCCCTGAATGGCTATTTTGGGTTGGATGTGCAGGAAGTTTTGACGAACGGGCAAAGAAAATTACAACAGCCTTAGCAAAAATATGTCTGAAAGCAGGAGTCTCTTTCGCAGTACTCGGAACGGAAGAGCGTTGCACAGGTGATCCCGCTAAGCGTGTAGGAAACGAGTTTCTTTTCCAAACAGCAGCGATCCAAAATATCTCTCTACTCGAAAAATATGGCATTAAAAAAATTTTAACTCAATGCCCGCACTGTTTTAACACCCTGAAAAATGAATACACCGAATTGGGCGGGCATTATGACGTTCTACATTATACAGAGTTTTTGCTTATGCTCATCCAAAACGGACGCTTGAAAATAAATAATGACATAATGGCAGGAACAAAGATTGCCTTTCATGACCCATGTTATTTAGGAAGAGGAAATGGTATTTATGAAGCCCCACGAATGTTGATTAAAACCCTCAATGCTGAAATAGTGGAACTCAAACGCAATCGCGAAAAATCATTTTGCTGCGGTGCAGGAGGTGGGCAGATGTTCAAAGAATCTGAACAAGGGAAAAAGGAGATTAATATCGAACGTGCAGAGGAAGTGGTTGCAACGGGTGTAAAAACGGTTGCCGTCGGATGCCCATTTTGTAAGATGATGCTTACTGACGGGTTCAAGGAACTCAACCAACCTGTCCAAGCAAAAGACATTTGCGAAATGGTACTTGAAGCAATGCTGTAAGTAGTGCGTATGATTTGTTTTAGTATGAATAAATTGCTTTTTACCAACCCGCATTATTCCTTGACGCTTAACAAATAATTTAACCGTTAAAACAGTTGTGTTTTGTAAATGTCACCGATTAAAATCATCTTATCTACATTCAGAGTAATTACAATTAAAAATTTCTTCTTTGAGTTGGCAATTTTTGTCCATCTCGCTTATTATTGTTTGATAAATTCCTTGAACAATCACTTCTTCTTTGCCACTATTATATGGTAAAGTTGCAAGTGTATTATTGTTTGGATACAGAAGTTCAATAGTATCCTTAAACTTGATAACTGTTAGGGTTGTCATTGAAAACACATTTAGATTATTTTGTCAAAATTATTTGCTTCTATACTTTTTGTCTCAAGAATTTTGATTGCTTCTTGAATAAACAGATAAAAATCTTTATTGCTTGATGATAAAAAATTCATAAAATTAATGTCGGCAATATCTTTTTGTCTTGCTGAAACAATTATTTCACTATT